GAAACAAGTGTAGTTAATGCCTTGGTAAAAGGCGACAATTGTAGAGCTTTGGTAAAAATCCATGTTTTATTTGCTTCAGTGAGCAAGCAAGCAAGGTTAGGATTAACTAGTGAGTGTTAACAACGATTAGTAACATAATTTGCTTTAGTGAGTAAGCAAAGGTTAATCAGAAATATTGATAGTATTATAGTCGTAAATGTAAGGTTGTTAAACAAGCTACTTAAGTTATTTTACAAAGGAACTTTATAAACCATAATTGTTAATTAACCAAAATGATATCACCATTTAACAAGAATCGAAAAGTTTACTTCAAAATATTGTTACAAGATAAGAAATAAAATAAGGATGAGATAAAAAGATAAATAAAAAAGAAGATAATAAATTTATAATGGAGATTAAATTACTATTGTTACTAGAATCTAATGCTTATTAATTAATTAATTGATATTGAAATTTTTATTCACGTTTAGAAAAAAGAGTCACAATCAAGATTATTTAACGAACTATTACTTGTAATTTTTAAGCTTTTAAATTTAGCAATCTCTTCATCTAATATTCTACTTGTATGATATGCATCTGGATGTGGTTTGTGTGCTTGTTGTGAAGTACTATTACCACTACTAGTAGTATGATTACTATTATTATCATTATTATTTTTAATAATTTCGTTATGTTTATCATAAGCAAATTTCTGAAGCTCTCTACTAGTTGGTCTTTTTGATGGATCCATATCCCAACACCTCTGCATCATTTGCATTCCAGGTAGTACTGGTGGTCGTAAACCTTCACATATATCAAAAATCAAACAATGATTGTGATTTCTATTATCAAATGGTGGATGACCTGCAAATATTTCCCACATTAACATTCCAACACTATAAATATCAGTTTCTTTTGTGTTCTTTGTATTCTTTTTGCCTCTAAGTAGCTCGGGTGCAACATATGATACAATTCCATAAACTTTATTTGATGACTTTTCATCAATTGGTCCACATAATCCCAAATCTGTAATATAATAATTAACTCTGCCACAAGTATATTACCACTATGTAAATCACAATGGATTAAATCTTTTTATATATATATATATATAATCTTACTGCATTAGCTTTAATATAGAGGTTTTTAATTCTTTTTGTCGCCTCTTCAACGGATTCTAAAGTATTACCGGCAACTTTTATGTACTAATTAAACGATATTATATATACATAAGAAATAATAATCCATTAAAAATTTAAGAAGGAATATCTATATTTTATAAATTATCTTACATTGCGATCATTCCATATATAACATTTGGTCTCAACACGAATTGGATCCAATATTTCTGTTTTTTCACCAATAATCATTGGAATTGGTATTTGAGCGTTAGGAAAAAGGAAAACTCCGTAGAAAGGTTTGTCTTCACAAACTCCTCGATAATCCTGTTCTTCTTTTTCACGTGCCTCTTTACGTTGCAACTTGCGTAACTGTTTATCAGTAAGTGCTTTTTCTGGTCTTGCCCAACCTTTAACTCTTCTTTTACTTTTTTCTTTTTGTTGTTCCTATAAAATATTAATAAGTTTACATTTGCATTCCATTTATATTAGCATCCATACTAATATCAATTAAACAATCTTTTATCAGAAAATAATTAGGTACTGACTGTAAGTATATTCTCTGCCAGATTGTTCCATTGTTTAAGAGCTTGTTCTAAATCTTGTCTTCTTCCCCACATTTCAATTTGCTGAAATATAAAAAAGGTTATATTGAGATCAAACAAGATAAATCACAAATCAATTAAACTAATTATATTAAATAAAACTTACCAATGTTTTACTATTATATTTCATATGGGTATTTGTAGTGGATTCTATACGTGCTTTATTACAATCTTTCTCACCAAGAATTTCAAGAGGGCGAAGATTAGGTGGAATCTAAAATTGTAAGAAAAAGTTTGATATTAAACGTTGTTTCTTATTATTGTTGGAGTTTTTTAAAAACTTACCAGCCATACTTCATCAGGAACTGTTTTAGCTGTAGCTTGTTCAACGGATTCATCCCTATACTGAGGGTCTTCATCAGGCCTATCTCTTCTACTTACTCTGGAAAATGGTTGTCTCCACTCTCGTGCCTCCTCCTCTTCATAATTAACATTTGCATCACCAAGTGTTCTATATGGATTAGTACTATTCATCTTGCAACTAATTTCTAATCAATTATTATTATGCAACTGTTTTTTTACAATGGGTTACACAAATCAAAATTTTTTAGAAAATGGGCAACTAACACATGTTCTCAAAATACAGTGCGGATCTATACTCTAAAGTTAAATTTTTTGAAATATTATGTGATCCACACATTGGATTTTAAAAAACCCACCACCATTCAATTCAGCTTTAAAAAGGGAGT